GCTTCTGTGTTGTGATGTAAATCTTGTCTGGTTTACTGATGTACTATTCTAATCTAGACAAGTTGTATGCAGCATGTTTTTTGGTACTACCTTGAAATATTAATTAAAAATATCCAAAATCATGTGAAAAATTCACCTCCAATTGATTTTTCTGTATCAAAATTTAATTTTTCTGATATTTAATGAAGACTATTAATCCTTAATCCAAATGATGCGCCAGAAAAAGTGGACATACCTGATGTTTTGAAACTGACTACTTTGTGTTGACATTTTCAAACATATATTTTATAGAGATTTCTTTAATTTTTACTTAGAAAGGCTATATCATTTCCTTCATTTTGAAAAGATTGAATTTGAAGAACAGAAATAAAATGGTACCATTAGCATCAAGAATTATATACCAATATAAACAAACTGGTATCTTATAATCCAATATCTCATTGACTTCATGCCCTTTTTTATTACACATAGTACAATTTAAATACTCCTGAGATTGTGGTCCAATACTTCTTTTCAATTACCTTGTAAGTTCAGGAAACATTGATAGACATTTGGACTTGAGTTTAGTCTTTTTCTATTATAAAAGTTGATTATGGTTCCTTGGCACGTTTAGAAGTAGTCTAGGTCAACAAGACACCCAATTATTCTCATTAATCTCACGATATATCAACATTACGAACCTCCATCACTTCTATTATAAAAGTCACTTAAATCAAGTCCACCAATCAATTGACACATCCTTGTATTTTTCCAATCCTTTCCCATCTATTTTTGTCCTGTTTTCAATGGATAGAAAGCAAGGAATTACTCAGTAATCACTTAACAAATTGATGTAGAAAAACTAAAGAAATAGCAAGTTTATAGCTGAAAGGCTTTGAATTCTAACACTTTTGCTTTGAAAAGCTGATGTCAATGACAGACAATGAAATATTTTTGAGGTGACATATTTATATTCTCAATATTTTTGTAATAAAAAAGAACAGTCTGAAAGAAAGTTAAATATACATTATATTCACTTATATGTAATTTGTCTACCATCTAAATTCTTAGGCCAGAATATTTTTTGATATACATGTATGTGAATGGATATTGGTTTTCATAAGGTCATTGCTCTGTTCTGTTGAATGTGAATGAAACCACAGTTTTGATCAGATTTTGATGACTTCATTATGCTGATTATTCATTTTTTCATGTATTGTTTTCCTTGCGACGAGGTTGTAATATTTTGTTGTAATATACTGGTAACATTTAGTATATTTGTATATGTGGCTTTAAGACCTATTGACTCAAGTTTTCTGTGTGCTACATTCTGTGCAAGTTAAAATCACTTTTCAGTGCAGAGAGTTTTCTTCATTGAACACTGAATGATATTGCATCATTAGTCCAATTTGGAGCAGAAAAGTATAACTTTGATATAAAACATGCAGCAAACCATTGTCTTGTCTTTTAAAATAAGTGAACAATAAAACATCTTTAATAGAACCATGTATTAAAACTAAAGCTGCACAAATTACTGTCATAGCATTCCAATTTGATGCTGTCATGTTATACTATTGAAATATGTTGGTCCAGAAAAATTACATTGCACTCAGCTAATTTTTGAAAAAGGTGTACAGAAAAAGCCAGTGGCTGTAATTCTAGCGCACACTTTTGGTCATAGATATACTGCTTTTGAGAAATAGACATTAAGTGTAAACAGTTAATAAATATTGAATTTTGTTAATGTTCAAGCTCAGTAAGATGGTTTGCAATTGAGAAAATTGTCAGTAATGTCACATTCAATTTCAGCTAATCTAGCTAATAGATTTTTATGAAAAACCACATATATAATACTTTAAAGTTCTTATCAAATGTTTAGAGAGACATTAATAGAGTGAGGATTCTCTTGATAAGAGATATTAATCACAGAATCAAAGGTATTAACTATAGAAAGGGATTATAGATTGAACATATAAGATAAATGAGAGCGGGTCAATCTAAGGTAATGTGCTGGTTAACATTAGAGAAGTAATTACTTTATCATAGGATGTTAATGGATGGTGGTCACTCTACAGGCCTCGTTTGTCATTGACCTTTATTAAATGTCACTTATTTTAGTTAGTTAGTGTAATACTTTGTGATAATTTGTTAAAAAATATCAAGTTAGCTATTTAAGCTGATGCCAAAATAGCAAGTCTGTTGTAGATATAATGTGTAATAGTAGAGTGAATGTGTTCTGCCTCACCAGCATCGCCTCCCACAGATCATTGAATAAGTGAATGTTTCATACAAGACAACTGTTAAAGTTGAAAAACCCAATAGATGAGCAATAATAAATAAGTCACTCTCAACAGGTAGCTGTTAGTTAATCAGTCAATGTGAATTTCTAAATGAAATCCTCTTTAAAACTTCAGTTAAAGGTTCATATACTATTGTTACAACCATTCAGTGCTCTGTTCTTGAAGGAAATTTTGCACAGGTATTTGTTAGAACTTCTTACTAGAAAGCTTACTAGAAACAGTATTGATCAGATTCTTATTGAAAGAATAAAGAGTTTTATTTCAGTTTCTTAACTGGCCACACACTTCTTAGCATTTTGAACGAAATGTTTTGAAATGAGAATGCCACTTGATAGTAACACCTGAGTAAACTCTGAGATAACACAGGGTTAACGAGAATTCCAGGTTCCATTGGAATAATGTTCTCACCTTTACAACATTAGTTCAACATTCAAACCCCATCATGTTTTATCTTGATGTTTGTATCATCTATTTCCATTATACTGTGTCACCTTTTTATACATTATCTTGAACTGGAATACTTTACATGTCTGAGTATTGTTGTTGAGAAATAAATACTGGTTGAGTAAGGTAATGTCTCTCTTCTAATCTTTCCATAACAGATGGACACTTAATATGTAGAATTTTGACTGAAATTCATCTTGAAGTTTGCTTCATATGATATTTAATCATACAACAGTACTATTTCTGGTTTTATAAAGTGAGTTGTGAAAGATGTGAATTTGTACCACAGGTTAATAACCATGCAAATTAGGCCGTTTCAAGGTCATGTATTGATTCGCTAGGTAAAAACAACAACATGACATTCTAGATGTTTGCTAATCAGTTAAAATTGATTACAATGCAATGTCTCCAAAATAACGTAACTTATATAGAGTTTCAATTTATTGATCACATTAACGTTGAATACATTTGAAGAAAATAGTTGTGTGATATATAGAATCTTTCATTAGTGCTTATGTCATATGAAATTGAATGCCTGATTAAATAATTTCCTCAACAAGGCTCAGGAAATATTAAGTCCAGCATCTTATTTCATATGACAAAAGCACTCATTTATGATCGGCTATTTAGTTTTTGAGTTTATGATTAAAGACCCAATTATCAACTAAAGCTGCTAAGAAATGTAAATCCACATGGACATTAATCTGTGTTTCACTTGACAGAATTTGTCTCTTTGGCGCTTGTCTAATTAAAGCAATGATGTTAATGTCTCTCAGATGTAAGCATCATTTATCTTGTTTGATAGTTATATACACACATCCACTCATTAATGACATAATTTCATGCTCTACTAACAACATCAATAATTTATGATAGAATAGCATAATTGAAAGTGTTCATTTGTTAGTGTGAATGGTTTTAAAATAATAATTATCTTATTTGAATTGGAAGTTCCTGACATACTTTCAATGTACATTAACTAGTTCATTTGGTAGTTGTTTGAGATGGATAAATTAATTAATTAAATAATCGTTTATTTTCACTAGGAAGTTTATAATTTCGATTATTGATTATCAAATTTCATAAGTGATTAAATGTCAAAATTACATTTTTCTATGATATATACAAGTCGGTAACTCTTCCACATAAATTTCATTCAGCGCAGAAGTTAACCACAATTACTGATCAAAGCAACACCACATACTTCTATTACTCAAAAATAACCCATGGAATTACACATTATGGAATGCTTTTTATTTGGTATTTACAAGGTTTCTAAATTAAAATATTTCGATAATCTCATCCCTCGTAGTTATGATAATTTTTTTTTTTTTAACTCAGTTGACAACATGCATTATCTGGTAAATTTAAAAAAGAAATATAAAATGAATTGAAGGCATCAAAAACATCCAACAATATAAGTTATTGAGTGGCACAAAGTGATAATATAAGTTGAAACTGACAACAGGTTATTGACAATAATTACAATTTATAAAACAATAGATAAATTAAATGTCACAACTATGATTCTCTCATGTTTAGATAATATCAAGTTCTGTAGGTTACTTTAACAAGCAATAAAATCTCTGCTGACTCTTCAGATAGAATGCAGAGTTGACAAACTCTGTGAGACTGTCTGCTGCACTTATAACTTCCCAAAAATTGTATATTCCTTTAAATCTCTTTATATGAAAATATAGAATAAAGAGATTTGTACTAGAGTTTTTGATGATTAGTTGGTTGGTAGATGATAAGTTAAAGTCTGCTTCAGACCGAAACTAATATCACAGACTATGTTGTTGATGTGGATCAATTGGATGTTTTGGTACTGTTGGTTTGGTAGACGTACTGTGATATTGTTTTGTAGGTTCTGTACAGTTAATGGGCAGTGATGTTTTTATAAAGCATTAGATTAAGGGGCTAGGGGGGTGGTCACATAATTGTCAGGGGGGGGCCAGTATCAGTAAGAACTCAATGGTTTGAAATTTCCAAGGGGGCCTGGCTCTCCCATAGAAACACAACTGTTGATGGGTTTCATCATGATGAAAATATCACTTGGAATGAAGTTAAATTCTCAATGTTTCAATTATCAGTTAGTGACTGAGCTCTTGCTAACACAAGTCAGAGCAATAAAAACAGAAACTTTTATAATATTTTACCACACTTTGACACATTTACTTCTAATAAATTAATTAAATGTTTTAACTTTTGCCATGAGCAAATGTAAAGTTATATTGCAAGTAATATTTATATTGTTTGAATTATTTATTTTACAGCATGGACGGTGCTGATCTTTGTTTTGAGATAGTTAAGAGAGCTTTAGATGGTTTTGTATATAGTGAAGCTGTAGCCAGGTAAAATGTTTTTGGTGTTTCTATAAATACAAATATATATATTTCTGAAACTACATTCATCTAATGTATATGTAGTAGAAAAATACACAAATGTAAGATCTCCCAAAAAAAGCTTCAAAAAAAAGGTTGCTTAGTTTAACGAGCCTACTGTACAGGAACATCAGGTTTTCAAGACGAGTAAGCATTCCTGATATGGCTGGTAAAACTAAGTACGTTACTTATTATAAGTTTATAGTTAATTAAACCATTATACCTCTCCTAATGCGATGCAGAGTTGACTTACCCAGTGAGAATGCCTCACCACGAAAACAAGTTAAAAAAAACTGTCTATACTTCCTGGTATTTCAATGGAACATGGCAAGATGAGCTCTTAATTGAATGTGGTGCCAATCAGGTGTTACAATTTGAAGTGAAGTGTTATTCAAAGGTTCATTGTTCTTTCAGCCATTATATTCGCCAAATTTTAGAGGCCTTACATTACTGCCATGCTAATAATATTATTCATCGAGATCTTAAACCACACTGTGTATTACTGGCTTCCAAAGAAAACTCGGCTCCTGTTAAACTGGGAGGTTTTGGTGTGGCGGTTCAACTTCCTGAAAATGGTAAACTATCAGGAGGTATGTAGATACAGTGTTCTAGTTGTAATAAGCATCCTTTCCAGTAATAATGTTGTGATAGTGTTAAGTGTTAGGTGTTGTATGCTCAGATTCCTCGTGTTCATGATCTATCCCAATATTTAATCAGAAGCTTACAGAAGTAGCTTGGAGAAATTGAGTGCCAGCTCAAAATAGTCTAAATCATAACCAAAGGTTTGGAAGGTGAAACCCTCTAAGCCAGAGGGTTTCTGCCTCTAGAATTACTAGAGAGGCAAGTTCATTTCAGTACCCATCCATCAAGCCGAGTTCTGGCTCTTGCTGACCAGACCAGACAACCATGGCTATAACCCAGAGAATTAACTAATCATAGGCATTTTCAAACATAAAGCTAAGAAAATCTGGATTGTCAAAAAAAAATTACTGACTGTTGGATCATATAATTTTTATGAAATGATTTAACATTTAAAAAACTTGCATTAAGCTGAAGCCTATTTAAATGATCGTGAGTAAAGTCAGTTCAGTATAAATTAATAACACCAGATATATATTGTATGTCCATTATGCATGATAAGACTGCTGGGAATCTACACAGCATTATTCAATATACATATTATAGTATTGCTAGTGCATGGACTGGTGGAGAGAAAATGATTTATTCCTCAATAGTCCTTACTGGAAGTCAGGGCATGGTCATACAATCTTATTGCATCTTATTTATATATGAAATTATTCTTGTGCATTATTCATTGATATCATACAGCTTGCTTGTAGTATTGATTTTGTATTCAGGTCAATTCAGTATATGCATGAGCATGGGACTGTTTTCATGATTTTGATTACATGTTATCAACTTTTGTTGCGACTAATAGAATATTTGATGAAATAAATTCAAACTAAGATGCCAAATAACAAAAATATCTCATCTGTTGTACTATATTGAAGTATCATTTTATCAAAGTATAATTCAAATCATGAAAATAGTCTTACCCTATATATAGTATATTGTATTGTGGGTTATTTGGTGTTCCAGACAAAGTACCATCATCAGTATTCTATGAATTAGAACCCATGTATTATGTTAGAGAAGATTGTATTGGTAAGATTTGTGGCTTTACTAACATCTAACTCTCACTGAATTACTTCCCTTTTTTCTAACATACACTTGTGTTACTAATTTGTTTGTGTAAATACACTTGTCAAGAGATACAGCTGAAGCAAATGAATCGAAATGAAATGACGGGGAAACCAGATTGAAAAATCTGATGGTATAATCCCTGGACACTCAGGTTAGCGAGGAAGGGTATTACTCACCGAGCCACTGTGGCTCCCTACAGCTCAGAGATATAAGAACTTGAATAGCAAAACAGTATTTCATTATTTATGTTGTATGCTGTGCAAGATACATTTCTAGCTTATCCATGGTGATAATTGCAATAAATTAAAACAATGTATACAAATATTTTAGTCTGCAAAATGAAGAGTTTTACTATACTACATATAAAAAATGTTTTGGTGAAAAGTTTGTTTTGACAGCACAAATTGTACTCTAGATTCTTTTAGATCACAACTTATACTAACATCTATATGTCTTATTTGATATATTTGATGATTATAATTATCAGTATTTAGTACATTACATACTGTATTAACCATTAACAAGTCTTCAGTTTATTTACAATCAGATGCTAAAAGATATACATATTGTTTGTATAAGAATTTTTGTAACAACTCTAAACATGAACAATAAAAGAGAAGGGTAATATAGCCTGTTCCTTTATCCCTTTTATAATTTATTTGAATAAAATATTGTTAAAAGATTTTTGTCCCTTTGGTCTTGAATTATCAGTGTAATGCTCAGTCAAATTGTTCAAGACAAGAACAGTTCTGGTTCCTGTTTTTCTAAAAATGGTCCAAGCATAGGAAAACAAGTTGGCCTGAACATGAATACCAAATATTAGATGATACAATTTGAAACTATATTTTTTGACAGTATAATTGATATCTTAGGTCGAGTTGGTACACCACAATATATGGCTCCGGAGGTAATAAAACGAGAAGAATATGGTAAACCTGTAGATATGTGGGGTTTAGGTGTTTTATCTTTTATACTGCTGTCTGGTTATCCTCCATTTTGTGGTACCAAAGAAAGATTGTATGATTTAATTGTTAAAGGCAGCTATTTTGTAAGTTGTATCTCTTTGCCTTTCTAAGTGTTTAATTAGTGACAATGTTCAGAGTAAGATATTGAGAAAGAAGGTTGCAGAATAAGTAAACAAGCAATATTAGTTGTATGAGCTGTCTAGAGATGTAGAGTTGAAAATGTAACTCTGTCCTCTTCTGTACACTCTTGAGATATAACGTTGTATAGATTAACATGGTGTTTGTGACTAAAGCTGGTGTTCATTGGACACTTGATTTTATTTATTCACTTTTTATGTAGATAGCAATTTGAATTCAAAACAAAATTAATATTTTCTTTTATTTAGTTTCGACCAAAACAATGGGAAACACTATCAAATGAATCTAAAGATTTTGTTTCCAAATTATTAGAATTAGATCCTAGTAAAAGATTAACTGTAGAAGAAGCATTAAATCATCCCTGGATAAAAGTAAGTTATAATAGATTTATATAGCAGGTAACTTTTCCATTCTCTCATTCTAAACGAAGATGTAGTGACATTTCCATTAAAATCATCCCGAGCTAAAGCTATGTTTTAAAAATAAATTTTCTAGCATAGCTATATTTGCAATGAACCATTGTCCATCATTTTGGAGGAGTGATTTGAAAGTTCAATAAAACAATTTGGAACATTGTTCAAAATGCAAAAAAAAAGTAGGTGAAGACAGAATTCAAAATGGATTGGAAAGAAATAGAAGGTTAAATTCTGATGTGATATATCAGAACAGGCAGATTCTGTAACAGGCAGATCCTGTTGAAACGATCTGTTTAGAACTAACCAAGATTAAGCCAATAGTCTTCTCAACATTAGAAGGGAGGTAAGTAGGATATTTTACTAAACTTTCAGACTATTATAAATCATATAAATTATTTAAATCATATTATTTTGATTTGTAGGATAGGCGATCTATACCAAAGATACACTTACATGAAACTGTTGAGGAATTAAAGAAATTCAATGCCAGACGAAAATTAAAAGTGAGTTGATATTAGGGGTTTATTTTGATTCAATTGTATGAGTAATTCAACTTGCATATATTACTATTTTCATTACTATAACCTTGGTTTCGTAACACAAAGTAATGATTATGCTTGTGCTTAAGAAGTCAGTTAGATTCAAAATAAATTCTGTTGCTATTTAACTAAATGTCATTGTTGAAATTATACACTTTGAGTGGTGCAAGTTTTTCAAATTTCATGTTAATCATATGAATGTGTATATTTAGGGTGCTATAATGGCTGCTGTTTCTAGTTCGAAATGGACGTCATTTTATAATGACCCTCCTCCACCAGATATTGATGGTGAAGATGTTACATCTGCTGGTGAGTTAAATATACTTCAGAATCTGAATTTTTAGTATGTATCAGTGTTTAAAATGAAACTAAATCTTGTTAACAATATAAACACTATGTCAGCAAAATGTACAACAATTTAGCAAGCTTAGACATTAGAGTATTCTTTTGAATATGTCATGTTGTATGATTTTATTGTTGAAATGCAGATTCCAAAAGTTGTTTAGAACCAGTTGTTTTTTCTAGAATTGCATGTAGAATGGTGTGGTGTAGAATAGTGGTGTAAAATAGTCTACTAAGGGATTTAACTTATTTCTATTTTCTCCAAGGAGCTGTTTCTCAGGTACTTGATTCTCTTGAAGAAGTTCAATGTTTAGCTGATAGTACAGAACAAGAGAAAGAATTTGTAGAAAGTGTACTTCAAGATACCAAACTTCATTCATTACTAAATGTAAGTACAATTTTTAACTTAACCATTACAGTTCAAGATCATCCACAATTGACTAGATCTGATTCTTTTACATGATCCTATCTTAACATCTTTTGACAAATTTTGAAGATGAAACTTGTACACAATATTACATACAAACCTCTTTTTTGTAGCTAAAAGCTCGTGCAAAAACATTCAAACATACATAAGATAGAACAACACATGAGTTTTATGTACCCTAAGGGAAATAACTCTACACAGCACCTGAAAGATTTTCTTTCAAAACATAAAATACACATTTAATTTGGTTTTATTTAACATTGATGCTTATTTTTATGCTTATTAAAAATCCTGTCAAATTAACACATGAATAATCACTTGTTTTAGGCTGAACTTCTTGAGCGTTTATTCTCAAATATAAAACTCCATACTTTACTAAACGTGAGTATTTCTACCATCATTCTGAATGTGGAATGGTAGAAAATAAACAGCATGATCTCAATTTGGTTTCAAATGTTTTCAAATTGCCAAGCAAAATTTGGAATAGAATTAGACTTTTGACCTTTTTATTACTAACCCCATTCTGTTTAATTAGAAATTAATTATGATTTTCAGCATGGATTGCTATATTCTGTTCACACTAGATTTGTTCAGAAGACTTTGAATAATCATGAAATAGTCCTGTAACTAGTAGAAATAACAATAAACAAACTACTATATCCTCTTAGTATTGTTAAGTCTTTGTTTTACTCCCCAGTTAGTCTAGTATAGATCATTTCAAATTGAAATGTAGAAAGTTTATTTTAGGTATTATATACAAGAAATATATTGATATATCTTACAGTATCAGTTATATTTCATTGTCATTCAGTCTTATATTTTTCATTTTATATATGTACCTATGTCTGTCAGTCTTATAGCAACTGTCTGTCAGTAATTTATTATATCACACTGTTAGCTTTATATCATTGATATCATCACATAATGACAATCTTTATACTGTATCAATGACTCATTATATCACAATCTGACAGTCCACTGTCTTCAATATCTGCCATTCATTATAATAATGGCCAAGACTTCTTGCACTCTGATCTTAATATAAATGTTAATGACTTTGCACATTTCTTTTCAGACACTCCTAATTAAGACTTTCAGTTCTTGCAATCTGCGTAATGTTCTACCAGTCTTTCAATCTGTGGTAATGGTCTACCAGTCTTTCAATCAGTGTATGTACTTGACAGTATTTACTCACCGTGATCTAATTGTGTGTAAATATATATGGAATTTAGCCATTCTGGAAGGTTAATACCATAGTTATTGGAGATGATGCTATCAATAGAAAATATAACTGTTAATTATGGCTAGCTTTAAATACCAGATAAAGATGGCTCTTATATCAATATTTAGTCAACACTTTACTGGCTGAAAATCATTTCAACTCATCCCTGTCATAACAAATATCTTTTACAAAGCCATGTCTGAACTGATATTAGAATTGGTCAGTGCTGACTGTCAGGAAATTTGTCCATGTTCCCTTTTTATTTTACTGGAGCAATCCGTGAGATAGATGAAATTTCTAGATATAAAACCAGACTCTTTATCAGAAAATTGATGCTAGATCAAATTTGATATTGTACATGACAGGCAAGTCATTTAGAATTCTCATCCAGTCACTTGTTAAAATTGCTTTGATGAAACTTGTAGCCTTTGACTAATCATTATATTGTATGGAAAAATTGTTGGCCAAGGTTTTGCTATGTTGTCGACTAGAGGCACTTTATGTAATTAACAAGATCAAGTATCTTCTCTGGACTTATTAGCCAAGTTGAAATCAGTAAGTTATCGAAACAGATTGAATTTCCTGAATCATCCTAGTCTGAAGCATTGCTTTCTTAATGTGAATTTCTTGTGCTTGGTAGAACTGAGCAAGTCAAAGTTAAAATATTTTGCGTGTTTTGACGGTATTGTAAACAAAGTAGGTCTAAAATAAATGGTGGGATGTGTCGTGTTCTGGAATAAAACGGAAATGAGGTAAATGTGATAGTGTTTTTCTCCACGTCTGATTTAATATGAAGGGTCAAGATGGTCATGATGATTTAATTGGATTGAGAGCTTAGCTATCCTGTACAAATTAATTGGACGGGTAACCTATTTATTTGTCTAAAACAGTATATTGGTAAAAGGTTTCACAGACTTTTGTTTGACATTTAATTGACTTTATTTCATAACAAATCGCTCTTGAAGGAAAAGTTGTGTAATATAATAACTGCTTTCAAAAGTCCACTGCACCATGATTGAAGTAGCCTGTTGTTTGGTAACAAAATCTAAAGCTGAATTTTTATTTCGAAACACTATTTTGTCCAAAGAAATGTGCTAATTTTGGTATGCATTTCATACTGTGTTATGCAACATATAGGTTCTAATTATCACTCCGGATTGAAAGTCTTTGAAACTATTTGACCTTGTGTAATCTCATTGATTACATCTTTCAAGAATCCACAGCACCATTATTAAAGTAGCCTTTTAATATAATTGAATGAAGTTTTATAAAAAATTTAAGGCTGAATTTATATAACAAATGCACTTTTTGTCCAAAGCAATGTGTTACGTTTACTATGCATAGTACACTGTGATAAGCAATAGAGGCAAATATTTACATTAGTTACCTACATTAGTAATCTGAGCTCTTTCTGATTATATACATTACAGTAATATTCAGAACAATTAGTCTTTACATTGACAGTAATTGTGAACAAAATAAAGCCAAAATCAATACAGATTAGGAAAGTTACATGTTGTAAATATTAATTTTTCATGCTGAAAAGATCAGCTTATGTTAAGTCTGTATTTATTCTTCTCTCTTCACTACCAGTTTATAAAGAGACAATTTTTTTTTATAATATTAATCTTTCAACTACCTTAAAATAGCTTAAAAAATTTTTTAACAGTGTCTTTGTTGCATTGAAAATTTTTTATATTCCACGACTCTGTTAATGATTATTGGTTTTAAGAGGAATGCCTGTTGATTTTCATCATCTGAAATAGAATGAGTTATGTTGACTGAAAGAAGTGCATGTTGAGTGTCAAAAGTGTCATCATGCCCTGCTACATACATGTATGTAGTAGTTGATAAAGAGGCAAACTTAGATCAGTTGATGCTAACGGGAGCCATCTTTGTCAGTTGGTAATGTTGAATTATGTTCTTGGATGTATAAGTCAGTGGAACGATTGAGCATCTTAGTACATGTATGAATTAACTTATATATAAGATTAACTAGGTTAATCAAGTCTACTAGAAGAGATTATAGACAAGGTCATCAGGGAGGCTGGTTATAAGGATGTTACAAGACAAGTAGTTTTGAGAGGTGAAGCGAGACCGAGAGTTATCAATGTTTAGAGACAAATTGTTTAGATTGACGTGCCCTACAGACTGATGATAACTATCAAATTAGACTATAATAAATACAGTCAACGTGATAAGAAATCTGAAATACTCCGGAGACATTTCTCTTTCCTTTCGTCCAGTTTTTAATCTATAGGATTATGATTTATTCCACTACTTATTAAGATAAAAATAGAATATTTCTATGTATTCATGTATTTATTTTATTTACTTTCTTTTTTATTATACATTTATTATTCATTTCATTTTTCGTTTCATTTTACGTTAAAAATCAAGGCCCATTTTGATTTTTTACAGACTGTGCACATTTCAGCTCCAACAATATATTGGAATCGAAAAAAAGTAGGTATGCAGATTCCCTTTGTAAATATGTGATTCAACTAGGGCTCGATGCAACTTGAGATGACATTGCTTGGACTCTATTGCTTTAGCCTTGAAGAAGTAATTTTGGTATATCATTGTGTGTGATTAACAAAGTTGATTCTGCAATTGTACTACTGAAAACCATGGACTGTGATTGAACCAAATCTTTAAATATCAGTCAGATCTTCAGCAAGGTCTAAGCATTAAGTAGATGAATCTATAATCAGTTTGGAATGTGTTAACTCAATTCTGTTTAATAATTCAAAATAAAGTTTCGCAAATTAAGTCTTCTTACGATTTGAAATGGGTTTATTAGGATGAATATGACAATAAAACTATATTTTGATTAATAAGTAATAATACATCTTCGTTAATTAAGTCTTATTGATAGTTATGGTCGTTATTAATGTGAATTATATTATGTGCTATGAAACGAAAAATAAACAGCAAATATCAATTTAGATCTTCCAATAAGTTACTCTAGAAGATATAAACTGAAACAGGGTATTTGGAAGTAAAAAGTGGGATTATTGATATGGTATTGATTACATTGATCTTGGTGTATTTATCTAATAAAATCACAGACTGTTTACACCTAAACTTGTCTCATAAAATACATTAATCTTGACAATTCTATCTTTAACATATCTTAACATTGATTTCTTTAAAGAGATTACTATCCTGTTCATAGCTACAATATATATTTATTCTACAAGGTTGTGCTTAGAAATATTATCCCTTATACACTTGGACCAGATAAAGCAAACTATATTGAGTGCTTTTTTTAAACTGTGGTAAAAAAGGGTCCACAGAAAGACAAAATGGCTGATTCTGCACAAAACATTATCATTTACACCCTTAGTATAACACTGTTATTATCAGTCAGATCCGAGCCAAAACCTGCATGTCGGGTCCCAATCAAAGTTAGCTGGGCCTAATCTGCTTAGACCTATTTACATTTGTGAATGTATTTAAGCAAGCTGTACCAGATCTGGAGCTACCACTCAAGAATTAGTAGGGCTTTGGCCTATAGATGCGTTTTCAAAATTGTACATTTTTAAAGTCAACTCTTTAACATGATCTGAAATCAAATGAAAGTATTTTGAAACAACTCAGTTTACATAAATAGAACAAAGTACAATATATTTTTTTTAAATCTTAGATTTATGTCATGTAAGAAGGAAGTAATGAAAATGTCATTCTCTAATATAATTTATTATCAATGATCATTGTGGACTATAAAACATATAGATCAATTTATTAAAGCTTGTAAGATTCTGTCACTCTCTTAAAATTCTTAGACATTAATAAATATTTAAATTCAATATTAATCTGGTTTGAAAACCATGTTTTCTCTCTTTGGTTTATAGACAGTGATTTTGTTTACTCATGTAATTTCTGGTTCTAAATAATTTTGTTCCCTGATGTGGGGGTACACTGAAGTCCATGTTCATACGCATATACATCTCCTGTTTGGATCTTATCCTTCCCCTTTGTGAGCTATAAATGTTATTTTCTTAAGATTTTGCCTTAGTATATTCCTCCTCATCTTTAAATTGTTATACTGGGTTTGGTTTTGATTATGGTAAATAAAATGAGGTCTCTGCTTAGTTTCCAGGTCCGGAACGATTAACATGACATGTGACATTTTAATTCTTTGTTCATGTGTTGATTTCTGCATATTTGTTTTAAGGCAACCATTAAATTTTCAAAAGACATTTAAAAACTCTAGCCAAACATTTCAGCAAACTGGAACAGATTTCTGTTATTAAAGTTATTATTTCTACATAAATAATCAAAGCCAAACAGAGAGAAAGCCTGTGAATTGATCTTGATTGATTTGATTGCCTCTATCAAATAAACAGTTTTTAAGCTGATTTTTATGAATGAAATTTATTAGTCTCTAGTTTGTGATTTT